CCCAATAGACACTTGTACCCTGGCCCTGGGTAGCTCTAAAGGTGTTAGAAGGCAGAATTTTTATTATGTGAAATGGCTAGAACAACAGACTAAAGGGTGCAGGCTCTGACCTCTGCAGCCAAACTTGGGGAAAGTGTTCCTGGCTGGCCGTTCATTAAATTGATCTCCTCTTAGTACTTCCTGCTGGGAGCAATTAGGTATCTTATATAGTAACAATTCCTTGTATTTAGATTTTCTCTAAGGCCCATAAAGTTGCTCTCAGACATTAGCTCATCAGTTCTTCTAACACAATTGCCTGATGATGGTGGTGCTAATTATTCCCACTATAAAGACCAAACTACTAAGGTTCATCAGTGCTGCTTCTTTTCCAGCCAAACACCAACTGCCCATTTAGTGTCTGTTAAACAGAAGAGCATCAGATTAAGGTCACCTGATTCCTTGTTGTCCTCCCTCCACTGGACTGAGGTCCAAGGAGAGATGAACTCTACAGATACCATCTCCCCTACATTCATGGGCTTCATAAACATGGCATCTGTCATGTTTGCTTCTTCACCACCCAGCCTACAGTGTAACTTTAGAAAAAAAGGCTCACTTCCTACAGTGTAACTGAGAGAAAAGGTCACTTCCCTCTTCCTTCCTAGCAATGTGAAACTGGAGTCAATAGCCTCCAAATAGTGTTCTACCAAACTGAATACCAGTGAGTTAGGCTTTAATCAGTGTGATTTCAGTGGCTCTCCTTCCAGATGTGCTCTGCATCACCTGAACATTCAAACAGGGCAAGCACAGTTAGAGAAGGCTGTTTTTACCTTCTAATATTCACTTGGATTAATCTGTGTTGGCTGCATCTGCCTACCTGGCATTGTGTCCTCACTTACTGATAGTGCTTATTTCATACTATATGCTTAGTTGTGTGACAACCAATAGAAAACCATTTGCTAGTCAGCCCTCATTTGTGAAGTCACCTTGGAAATAGCTTTTGAATTAAATGTATCATTTCAGTTGTCCTCTGCAGTTAGCATCTACCCTCCTGTCTTTATATGGCTCTAGAATGGTAAATTATTTTTTTTTCTTTTTTGGGTGGATTTGTTTGTTTGTTTGTTTGTTTGTGTTTGAGGTAGGGTCTTGCTGAGTAGCCCAGGCTGGCCTTGAATTCAGAATTCTTCTGTTGCCCCAATACTTGCATTATTGGCATGAGCTACCACACCCTGATTTTTTCTGATACTTTAACTCTTATCTATTTAATTTAAAATATTCCATCAAGTAGAAATAACATACTAAAACTAATAGGTCAGTTACTATTATTAATTATTAGAAATATGTTTTAAGAAAAATAAATGATTCATAGTGCCAATTGGACTTTCTCTGGACAGACTGGTTTTACATGATTTCTAGGTTGCTCTCTGAAGTCAAAGAAATAAAGATAGCCACTAGTTATAGGAGCCTGCAGGGTCTAGGTCCTCCGAGTAGACTGCACTCAGTCATAGCTCCCCTGGACTCCATAAGTTCTCCTTCTTTATGCTTGGAGTTAGTGTCAGTGCTGATGGTGTAATATTCTCTTGGCAGGGTGTCTGCTCTTAACATTCCCAGCTTTTTTTTTTTTTTCCCATTGATTTGTGTTTGCTAAGAGTCCTGTGATACAGTCTATGACCTAATTCCCAGTTGCCTCCATGAGTGCATCCATGCTCCTTAGCAAAATGTATTTGCATTTTGCAACCAGGAGGCTGTGCTGAAAACAGTGGGGTTGAGACATCATGAGCTGGACTGAAATTTTATTTTTAAATCTGAAATGCTGTGTAAGCACTTAAGGTATGAATCAGTAATCATTTCCCAACAGCTCCCATTAGCCATGCTGTATTTGTAGTCAGTCTTTCCAGGGATGCTAACATGCTGAAGCACACTGCATCTCATTTGCATTTTAAGCCAGCATTCAAGGGAAGTGACCACAACTTTTGAAAGTTCTGAGTACTGAAATGGACTTTATGTCTCTGTTCCTTGATGAAACAGTTTTAATTTTTCATTGGAAGAAAAGAAACTTTCACAGTGTAGTAAACATCTGAATACTTCTGAGCCAGAAAATATAGAAGGAAAGAAAAAGATTGTGTTTAAATGTTTCTAAGATTGAGAACGTTCTTTGCTCCTGATGGATTCAGTAAAGTGCAAACTTAAAAAATCATCTGTCTAATTTGAGATTCAAGATCATCAAATTCTGTCTAAATATTTTGTTTTAACTCCTAAGCTCATTATGGTCCCTTTGTGTTAACTTGTATTAAACGCTGTCAGCTATGACTGGTCTCATAAGCACAGTCAGTGGGGCAGAATAAGTTAATTATTTACTTGTGTCACTACTGCTCTTCATCTAATGAAATGCACAGCTGTGTTGGATCTGCGGTTGGATGTGTAGCTCCCATTGTTCCGAGAGTCAGCAGAGGGTAGAAGCCGCGGGGACGGAGAGCCCTCTCCTCTCTCTGCTGTTCTGGCTTTCTGTGTCGATTTCATGGGTCTTTTATCATTCACTTTCACACAAAACAAACAACACAGAGCTGTCTGCTATGGGAACCATCTTGGCATATAAAAGGGTTTTCAGGAACTCAAGTCATTTTAAGTTAGCAAAGATTTAATTTTTGGCTTACAGGTGCCCTTGGTTCAGATACAACCGAAGCAGTTCTGTAATAGGACGGAATGAAAAAGAGCTCCTCGTGTATGTTTTGGTTTTGGTTTTGGTTTTGGTTTTGCCACAAGTGTCAGGAAAGGGCAGGTTTAAAAAAAAAAAAAAGGAAACTGTGTACTAAAGATTAATCAGGCTTGGAGGAAAAGTACTAGATTCTGATTTTAGGAATGAGCATTTTGTCTTAATGAGCTTGAATTGGCTCAATTAAATGTGTCAGCTAAAACCAAAGATATCAAGTACAAGTCCTCTCTCTTCCTGCCCTCTCTAAGTCGCAGCCTACATGTCACACTGCCTCAGTCTGTTCTGGTCCCTCCCCCACCCCTCCTCCTGGTGATTTGGAGGGTAGGCGGCAGTGTCTTCCAGGCTGATGCCAGCACCCCTGTGAGTTCTATCTGCATTTCCCCTTTGATTTTGTGTTTAAAGGTTATCACTGAACTTGGCTTTCACCTGCCAAAAGGTGTTCTCAGCAGATGTCAGAGGCCACATAGGGATAGCTGCTTCCAACATTTGGCTCAATGCTGCACAGTGATGCTGTCAGGGTACCTAGATTTACAATTTGATCTCTTTCAAAGTAGACTTCCCAGTAGTGCTCTTTTTTTGTCAGATATTTCAGTATGGATAAGATGTTTTTTTAGAGGGAAGGGAAAAGTCACATACTCTGATATAAATTTTGGCACATAGCTATATCTTAACTGCAGCATTTCAAACGACTGTTTCTATTATTCATATAGGGAAGCATTCATGATATGATTTAAAAAAAAAAACAAAAAACAAAACTTTTCAACCAAAATAGCTATCAAAGGAACTGTATGCTCTAGAATCCAACATTGCAATTCTAACTGCAGTCTTGTTGGCAGCCACTAGAAAGCAGAGTGTTAACACAGTTCTGCATAAGCAGGTGGATTCTTTTCCTCTGCACTTTAGCTCTTCCTGATATACAGATCATAAAGGCTTTATTTTAAAGAAGTTTGGGGTTCTGGAAATATCCTGCAGTGCTTGCTTATCCTGTCTTAGGTTTTTAGCTCCAACACTGCAATAATAATAGCTTTAATTAAAAAAAAGAAAGAAGTGGCTTGACTTGTATAGAGGACAAACAGGAATGAAAATCTTTGGGTGTTTTAATTGAACCTGACATTGTTAAGTCACACATGGGAAAGGAGTTTTCCTTTATTACAGCAGTTTAAGAGTGCTTGTTTTCCTGTTCTGTGTTGTTGTGTACAAGTTTTCCAACTCTTATATAAATTGGAATTGATCACCTAAATTCTGTCCATTCTTATCTTCCTGGGGGAGGGTGGTTACAGAAGAATTAAAAACTATCTATCAAGAAAAATCTCTTCCAGCTTCAAATGCTGTTAAGGAATACTCAGGCCTTAAGAGAATGTCAGTGCAGTGCAGAGCTGGAAGGCCACTATGCTGTGTTCTCATTCTTAGAATTCCATGTCTAATTCTGGTCTTTTACTCTAAGAATAATTTGGCTCCTATTTTTCTTGTTGGACTTCAGAAGTTCAATCAAAGATCACTTTTCTAAGGTGCTGTAAGCTACAGGAATTAAAATTACATAGGCCAGGGAAGCCCTGGCAAGGTGAGCCAACCAGCCAGCCCTGCAGCCAGGGTGCACCTGTTAGCATTTCAGCCATGCACAAGGATTCCTTCTTTTTTTTAATGATTTATTTATTTTTAATTTTTGTGCATTGGTATTTTGCCTGCATGTGTGGGTGTTGGATTCCCTGGAATTGGAGTTACAGACAGTTGAGAGCTATTATGTAGGTGCTGGGTACTGAACCCAGCTCCTTTGGAAGAAGAGCCAGTGCTCTTAGCCACTGAGCTGTCTTTCCAACCCTGGCACAAGGATTTTCTGTCACAGGTTTTTTTAAACCACATTTACATAGTCAGTCTTTTTCAATCATTCTTTGTTTGGTGGTCAGAAAATTTACATTCCTGTGTTTGGGGCATAGAACACAGCAGACCACAACCTAGCTAAAAAGGAATAGAAACTGCAGATGGAAAAGCTTCCGGGACAAGAGCAGGTCTGAGACAGCCTTTTGGTGTTCATGGAACTTAGCAAAGGTGGGCAAGCAGCCTGACATCATCATTGTGTGTCATGCCAGCAGGCCAGTCCACAGGCTACAATGCTTTTCTGCAAGGAGAATCATTTGTGAACTGCTTGGCTAGCAGGGTTGTTGGAAATTGCTTTTGTTACTCTTGATAGAGACAGTGGGGAGGGTTTTAGAACAGTGGGAATAGAGATAGCAGCAGGGAGATCCCAATTAAGTACTGTGTTCTTTCCTCCTGCCCATTTGCTTTATATACCATAAAATCTCCTCTCCCCCAGGTGTTTGTGGTCTGATCGTCCCCCAGGAAGACATGCCGTTCTGTGATTCTGGCATCTGTCCCGACATCATAATGAACCCACACGGCTTCCCGTCGAGAATGACGGTCAGTCACCTTCGGGCTTTTCAGAGGTGGTGCTCTGTGGCAGGCATCAGGCAGTTAGTTTAGTTACAGTGAGCGGCCCCCTGATGGCTAAACGGACTCCTTGTCTCTGTCACTCACTCTCCTCAGCAAATGACAAGTGTACTTTCACTTGATTCATGCAGGCGGTGACTGTGGTCCTAAGCACAGAAAAACCCTGTGTGTCGGGCCTGTCATCTGTAATCCTATCACAAGCTTTGTAGAAGAAGTTAGGCACATAGGCCAGTGTTCTTCGGCAAGATACCAGCTAATGCCAGTGTTAGTAATCAGTATCTCTATTGGTAATTGTAGTGACTGAAGCTGCTTTCTCAGAGAGTAAGCCAGAGAGGTAAATTGGCCAGGAGAACTCCACAACACAGGTAGGCACTCACCTGGTTTGCTCCCGTCCCTTCTTACAGGTTGGAAAGTTAATTGAGTTGCTGGCTGGCAAGGCAGGTGTGTTAGACGGCAGGTTCCACTATGGCACTGCCTTTGGAGGAAGTAAAGTAAAGGATGTTTGTGAAGACCTTGTTCGCCATGGCTATAACTACCTGGGGAAGGACTACGTTACCTCAGGCATCACAGGGTGAGTAGGGGCAAAGGAGGTGAGCGCCCTGAAGAAGTACTACTTGAAGGTGTAAAATTTCAACGCTACCTTAGTTGGACAAAATGAAGCCTCACTGTTTTAGGAAATCCAGTACCAGAAAGGCCACATTTAAGAAACCAGTCATTGAGGATGACCACTTGTTTTGGTGAAACTGTCATTTTAAAAGTCAGTAAGATTCTATTTAACAAAGTAGGATTTCTATGTGGCTTTTGTGGAACATACTAATTGCATATGATGCGATGTTTCCCAAACTGCTAGATTTCCTTTGCATTTATGTGCCAAGTCTTGATAGCCTGGAGCCAAGTGTTCATACCAGTAAGGCTGTGTTAAACACCTAATGTGTGCTAGGCATTGAAAGGATAGCAGTAAATAAAAGCACAGAGCTGACCATTTATATTCGCTATTAGACGTGGAACAGTAGCAGTCACAAAGTCATTTTTCTAGCAGGCCCTCAGTGACTGCCTGCCAAGCAGATGACTGCCTGTTTTGGTCTTTGTTGCTGAGGATTGAATCCAGGGCTTCATGCTGCTGCTCCAGAGAACCCAAGTATGGGATCCAACACCTTCTGGCCTCCAAGCACTTCTAAACTAGTGCACATGTACTCCTGTAGGTAACACACACACACACACACACACACACACACACACACACACACACACTAAATGAGGGGATGGGTGGGTGGGTGGATGGACTTTTCTATTAACACCTCCAGGTTAAGCTGTGTAAGCTGCCCTGGGGTTATAAGCCACCTAAGCATAGGTGCAGCTCAGCTGCAGCTTTTGTGAGGACACGCTGCCTAACTGTACCACTGCAAAGAAATGCTCCAGAAATGAAGAACATGCCTTAAATCCATTTTGGCTGAAAATACACAGTGCTTTGTAAAATGATTTGTCCAGACGGTAACAATATGGATTTCTTTAAGTAAATCATTCTTGAGATATTAGAGGGGGAAAAAAAAAACCCTCATTTTAGGAAAAATCTTAACTGTCTGCTCCATTTGAGTATGGTTCAGTTAAATAGTTAGGGATCCATTTCACAAAAACACAGTCCTCATAAAACCTATCACGTTCATTTCTACTCAGATATACTATTGTCCAGAGAGTGTGCACAACCAAAGGACCAATTCAGTGCAACTTCCTAAACCTGAGTGCACTGGAAGGTTAAGGTGGGCCACACCCTGTGTGCTGTGCACCGCTGTGGTCCTCCCCGCTTCCCTTGCCGCCACATAGAGTTTTCATGGCTTCGCTGTTCACCTCCACATCAAAGCTCGAGAAGCACTGCTGAGCCCTGGGACCTGCATCCCTCCACCTGCTCTCAGCCATGTTCCTGATCTTAGCTACAAGCAGGGATGGTATGTGGCTTTACTCTTCTGGTGGTGGAATAGCATTGGGTGACAGAGGTCTGTAAATGAGTTACTATCTCCAAAGACCATATAATTTATTAGAATTGAAAGACCCTTGGCTGACCACCTTGATATACAACCAAGAAGACTGAACTGGAGAGGTCATGCAGTACGCGTGATAGACTGGGACAAAAGCAGGGTCTCTTGAGGCCCTTGCCACTGTGACTTCCTCTCCACCATGACTTCCTGGGGTTCCATGTGCTGACGCTCATGTAGGGCTTAGTAACTGTAGTAGCCTCTACTCATACATTGCACATTGGAATTGGACCATGCAGTCTGGGCCAACATCTGCAGCTGCTTTTCTGCAGCTTGTGGCTTCTTTTGCTCTTTTCACTTCACAATGTGCTTTGCTCAAAGTGAGCTTGTTTTTCAGCCAGGCCTGTGTGGCAGGCAGAGAAGGTTTGAGTCCTGGTCACACCACTCACTGGTACTTACGTAGCCTCTCAGGCTCACTGTTCCTGTTTCTGCATCTTATAAAATAGACAGTGCTCCTGGCCTGCTATGTGGATAGATTAAACAGCACTAAAGAGTGTACTTCCTTCCTTTTGAGGAAGTACACTTGGAAGTTAAAAGATTTTTGAAGACATCCATTCCTTGTCTATTTGCTTCAGACAAGACTTTTTTCCTGTCAGAGCACTCACATAATCACTTTTAAGATTCGTACTGCAGATATTTTTAGTGGGATGAATTATATAACAAACATGTATTGAGCGCTAGTTGTATACCAGGCAAGATCATAGATGCTGGAGCCACCTTGGAAAGAAGGACACAGAACTGACTTCTTATGGGAAGACACAGGTAAGTAGATATGACTACACAAAGCTGCTGAGTACAGCACAGGGTTAAGTGAGAGAGGAAGGGAAGGGGGCTCCTTCAAGAAGGTGGGCAGCAAGGCTCACATCTGAAATCCCAGCACACAGGAGGGAGAGACCAAAAGATTGCAATAGTGGGTTTCAGGCCAGCTTAAGCTATGTGGCGAAACCTTATCTCAGAACAAAGAAAAGGCAGTCAGGGAAAGTCATCTAGGGAATACACTGTTGTCAGGGCCATGCATTTACCTGGCTTTGTCAGCACATATCAGCAGGCAGAGTTCCTGAGGCAGGAGTTCTAGGGTGTTTGGCATGCTAGCCATGCACAATTTTGACAACATTGAATATCAGAAGGAACCATTGTGGATTTTAGAGCAGTGACCTGCTCTGATTTCCAGTTTTGGAGGAAACTTCCTGGATTGTTTTGGTAAATCAGATTATCTAGTGATGAGAGTGAAAGCAAGATCTATCAGAAAATGACAAAGCAAGGAAAGCTGTTGGCCTGATTAAGCAGGTGGCTGTGAAGAGTTTATTGCTTTATGAAAGCAATGTCATCTTATACAGTGGTGTGCTTCTGTAGTTTTGGTCTAGCCTTTTTATTTGCTGTTGACTGAAGATTACCCTCACACAGTAGAAATCTCTGAGAAAACAAAGATATCCTGGTAATGAGGCCTAGAGGCCATCGGTCCAATTCCTCTGGCCCTGTCTTTTAAGAAGTAGCGTTGCTTTCTTTCAGAGAGCCCCTGGAAGCATACATCTACTTTGGGCCTGTGTACTATCAGAAACTGAAACACATGGTGCTGGATAAGATGCATGCCCGGGCCCGAGGACCACGAGCAGTCCTCACCAGGTAAGAGAAACGGGGCGGAGGCGGGGGTGAGCACAGTGACACAGGGAGTTAATGCTGCAGTCAAAGCATCGTTCTCTTCTCTGTGGTAAACAGTCCCAGAAGAGTTTCTGTTTCCCTTAAGATATCAAAATTTGTATTAAACGTTGTCTTGGTTACCTTTTATGATTGTGATTTAAAACAAACAAAACAAAAAACACCATGACCAAAAGCAACTTGGGGAGGAAATAATTTAAATCTTACAACTCTCAGAAAGAAGCCAGGACCAGGAAATCAAGGCAGTTCAAAGCAGTAACCAAAGCAAAAGCCACAGAGCTGCTTACTGGCTTGCTCCTCCTGTATTCTCATAGCGTCTAGAACCTGCCTAGGAATAGCACTGTCTCCAGTGAGCTGTGCCCTCCCACGTCCCTCATTTTAAGAAAATATCCGACAAGGTTGCCCACAGGCCGATCTTAGGAGGCATTTTCTCAATTGAGGTTCCTTCCTCTCAGAAAACTCTAGCATATGTCAAGTTGGGGGGGGGGGGGAGCTAGCCAGCACAATTGAACCTTAAACAGCACTATTCAGGTATAACTTTTTCTTTCTTATATGTCCCTAAGATATCATAAAATACTAACATTATAATATAAAACATCCCAACTTTTAAAAGTTCCATGGTCTTTAAAATTTTTAACACTTTAAAAGTTCAGTTTCTCTAAAATTCCAAAGGTCATCCCCTGTTCCCCGTTCCCTCCTCCCACCCCACCATAGGCTCCTATAAAGCCTAAAAACAAGTTAAATGCTTTCTTATTCAGGAGGAAAGAATCAGGAATCATTTTGGCTCCAAGCTTATTGTCGGTGTCATAAACAGAATTTGTTGGGAAAGAGAGTTAGAACTGCAGTCATGGGCTGGAGAGACACTCAGAGGTTGAGAGCGCTGGCTGCTCTTCCAGAGGTCCTGAGCTCAATTCCCAGCAACCATGTAGTGGCTCACAGCCATCTATCATGGGAGCTGGTGCCCTCTTCTGGTGTGCAGGTGTACAGGCAGACAGAATACTGTATGTATATAAGAAATCTTAAAAAAAGAGAAAAGAACTGCAGTCATTCTTCTATAGGTGCACATCCAGTCTCACAGGTTCAGAATGCAGAAAAAGGCATTGGGAAAAATAAAATTGCATTACGGGCCTGTTTAGATGGTTCCATGATAAGGGTGCCTCCAGATCACGTCTCTCCCCACAGTCCTTATCACAGAGCTAGTGAATGTGGACCAAATACCAGGCACATGACAGATGTTGTGGAAATATCTGGCCCCGCATTTTCACTGAGCATGCTCTACAGGGGAGGAAAACAGGGTAATCACTATTTGGCTTTGTTTGCTTTTTTAAAGCCAGACTCAATCTTGACCATAACGTGAACAGATGCAATGCCTATTAAAATCATAGACGTGTGTGTGCTTCAAAATGCTGACAGGGGTCTGGAGAGATGGCTCAGTGGTTAGGAGCACTTGTTGGTCTTGCTGAGGACCTGGGTTTAGTTCCCAGCACCTACCTGGTAGTTTACAACCTTCTGTAACTCCAGTTCCAGGGATCCCATGCCCTCTTCTGATCACTGAGGGCACCAGGCACACACATGGTACACATACATACATACATGCAAGCAGGACACTCATACATAAAATAGAATAATGTTGAAAAAAATGTTTTTAATAACCAAAAGGGAAGAGGAGGTAAGATTCTCAAGGTAGGTGTTGCCTAAGCAGTAAGACCCCGGTGGGCCAGGTGCTATTCCCTTCTGCAGTCCCATGTCAATCACAATGTCCCTTTTTAGCACAAAGTTTGTCCAGGAACAATTGTCTATCTTCAGTGGCTGAAATTCAAGCATGGAGTCTGCCCACGTGTAGACAGCCACCTTCACGTTGTCCAGTGACTTCAGGTAGAGGGAGTGGCTGTCTGTGGTGGGTCTGCCAACAGATAAAAATGTGCAGGGACTGTCTTGGTGAAGTTTCCTCTACAGAGTTCTCCTTCAGACTCTCTGTCAGCTTTTCATATGTAGATTTTTCTTTCAAATAATCTACTCTTCGATTTCTCACCATTTCTCACCGTAACATCTAGCCATAACAAAAGCAGTATTAACATTTCAGCATATGTTGGGAGGACTGTGTTCACTGTGTCACTGGGGAGTCCATTCGAGACAGTAACAGGCTGCAGGGCCTGCTCCACTTTGCCCTCTGCTATTGTAGTAAAACATGACAAAGGAAAAGTTTATTTGGCTTCCAGGTTACAGCCTATTGCCTAGGGAAGCCAGGGCAGGAACAGAAGCAGAAACCATGAGGAATGCTGATTATTGGCTTGCTTCGTCTGGGTTTCTCAGCTTCATTTCTTATCTACAGTTAAGCCCCACCTTCTCAGGGAAGGCACTGTCCACAGTAGGCCGGGCCCAGCCACATCAATCAGCAATTAAAAAAAAAAACAAAAACGGCTCATAGGCATGCCCACAGGCCAGTCTGATGGAGGTAGTTTTTCTTTTGATATTCCCAATTCCCAGGTGTGTCTAGGGTCTCAACAAGTTGACAGAAACTAACAGTACAGAGCCCTTGCAAGAGCCATTGGAGACCCAAGTGTCTTCCTCTGTCTGCATCTCTTTTTTTTTTTTTCTCTGTAACAGAGTAACAGAGTACCTCTCCAAAAATACTCAAATATTGCCCTCTGGTTTGACAGCCATAGTAGCCTAATAGCAATGACCATGACATGAGAGTAATAAATGCTAACACTAGCATTTGGGGGATTGTATAAATAATTTATTGCTATGTCATATGATAAAGACTATATAATTATGATTTTTTTTTTCACTAGTATCCTCTTTTGAAGCTCTTTAAAATCATGGCAGGAAGACCAATGATTCGTGGTTGGAGATCACTGTATGATTAGCCTGCTCCATACCCTGCTTTTGCTTAGTGTTTGATGTTGCCTCTGTTTTCTGTGCCTAATGTGGTCTGGTCATTTTCTTCAAAGGCAGCCCACTGAAGGACGATCTCGTGATGGCGGCTTGCGTCTCGGAGAGATGGAACGGGACTGCTTAATTGGCTATGGAGCGAGTATGCTCTTGCTGGAGAGACTCATGATCTCGAGTGATGCCTTTGAGGTTGATGTCTGTGGGCAGTGTGGACTCCTGGGATATTCTGGCTGGTAAGTGGATACCACGTTCTCTCAGACCACATCCCTTAGCTTAGGTGGTGGCTCAAGGACCGCTCTGGACCACACCCACATACTCTGCAGCCTTTCCCTGTGATCACTTATGTACCGCCACTTGTCCATGCATCCCCATGAGAGATACTTGTATGTTGTATCTTTAATGCTGTATTTATATTGCTATAGGTTAAGCTCCTAAATAGTACAGGCTTTATCATAATTTTAATATTATCTCAGGGGCTGGAGAGATGGCTCAGCACTTGTTCCAGGACCTAGGTTCAGTTCCCAGCACCCACGTGGTACCTCACAACCATTCATAACAAGAATTGCAACCTTTAAGAAAAAAAAAAAAAAAAAAAAAGCTCCTTAGGGGATGTTATATCAAGATCTGTTCTTGATAACCTCAGACCCCAAAAGCCAAATTACCCCATATCTTACAAACAGTGACACCAGGACTAAGACCTGGTGTGTGGACTGTACCCCCTTACCTGATTCAAGTACACTTGGCTGCATGCTCCATGGTGCACAGACAGTGTCAGAATCGGTTGCTCACCCAGCAGAGTGTCTGCTGTGTCAGTGTGTCAGATGGAGTTCCGGGGTAGAAGTCCCCGGGGGCTCCCTGCGTTCTTTCTCATTGACCCACTCCAGTTTATACCTGGTACATGCTTAACGAAAAATGTAACTGCTAAGTGATCCCTGCATTGTGGAGTTGTCCATACATCCATTATGCAATTTATGAAGCTTTTAATTTCTTGTAAAGTCTGGTGTCTGATGTCCATCCTCACAGGCGGTGCTTCCTGGGTTCTGTTGTGTTATGTAGGTGCAACACCTTTCTTGTTTTCAGTCACACTCTGCCAAAGAACAAAAATCTGCTCAGGGCTAGTCAGGGTCTAGTGCCCTGCATCCTCGTGTAGCTGACAAAGCCTGTAGTTCCCAGCTTCTCCTCACTGACCTATCAGAGTAAGGTCTCACAGCATCTAAAATAGACATTCCAGGAATGGAGAATATCCATGATACCCTCTGCCCCTCACCAGCCCTCTCAAAGCTCGTCTTTCTCAGGTAGGAGCCCACTTGAAAGGACAGTGTAGGAGGCTAGGTAAGCATTGCTGGGGTTTGAGGAGTGCATAGCCACCTCTTCCCCCGCAGATATTCCTTAAAGCCTCTGTGTAAATAACCTCAATTTACTGCCTTGGGGATTAGGATTAGCAGAGGGGCTGGACCTTTGAGGTGGCTTAGAAAGTAAAAGTACACGCAAGCCTGGTGACCTAAGCATACACATAAATGTCATTTTTTTTTTCCCTTAATAGCAAGGGAGCTTCTTAGAACACATTGTGCACTTGCCAGCTCCATAGTAAACCTTTCAGTAGATTACCTTATCATTGCTGTGTAGATGAATTGATGAGTCCTGTTGATGCAGAAAGCATTAATGTGGACACTGATGGAAGAGGTGGCCACATTTTGGCTCATTCTTTCTGAAAGGTCACAGAGATGGTCACATTCTTATGAGAATAAGCCTGGCCCTTTTTTCTATCAATGAGATGGGGGTTTGTTCAGTCCTGGGATGTCCATTTGTCTTTTGAAATGCATATTGAGCATAGTGTGGGCTGTGTAACTAAAGGGAGGAGGGAAGGGGAGAGAGACAGAGGGAGCATAATAGGATGGTGCCTGGGACCTGGTTCCCCATCCTTAAGCCTCCAATCTGGCACAAGGACCTTTAAGGAATTGCTTTAAAATTGTGGAATGGAATAGTCATTCCATTAAAAACAGGAACCAGGAGACTCCAAAGAAAGTTGTAGTTTCCCCTTTCTTGTATCTCCCTACTCCTCCTCCTGGAAAAGGAGACAGTAAACCAGGATCACAAGGCCCAAGCCTTTGTCTCTGCTGGATGCTTAGGTACACCTGACATGTGCAGAAAGGCCATACAAGCTGCTCCATCATCAAACCTCTGCCTTTGCTGCCTGGTTCATCTAGTGGCTAGCTCACCTGATGGCAGTCCTGATCCTGGGTTCAGTGTGCTATTCTTTGGAAGGACTTGATTGGGTTATGTGGTCTGACGGTCTTTATCTGCAGCTGCATAGACCTGATATGTCTGATTTGAGTGCCCTACTTATACCCTGTTGCCAACAGAAAAAAATTCTAACCCATTCTGTAGTCTGGCTGCTTCCATGTGCTACTCTCTGACCGAAAAGCATAATGATGCTGTCCTTTTTCCTGTCATTACCTGGTCTTGTGTGCCCAGCCGGTGGGAGGGAGCAAGCACAGCTAGTTGGAGGAACTCACTCTTTAATAAGCCGCACAATGCAGGCTGGGTAATTAGAGCGGCTCAGTACCTTGGAGCAGGCCCCGGTGGGTGACTTGCACATTAGTAAGGCATTGCTATGGGGAGGTTTACTGTTGTTCCTCAGAGGACTCAGGGCAGAAGTCATCAACGAGCCCCATTAAGGTAATTAGCTCAGAGAGGATGCTGCACTGGGCATGGGCCGTGTGTGCAGCCTCGGCTTCCTCTTGCTGTCTTCATCCTAGAGTACAGTGTACTTTATTGCCCTTGGTCAGGTTTCTACCTTATGTACATACGTACGTGTGTGTGTGTGTGTGTGTGTGTGTGTGTGTGTGTGTGTGTGTGTTACATTGAATGTTTTGAATCAATATATTAAGATTAATGGGTTATCCAGACTATGAATCAGCACATATGGAAATTTTAACTAGATTAACTGAAATTGGAGTCACCATGTAATATACAGGATAGGAAAACCAGGAAGAAGTTACTGAAGTTCAGGCTGCTTCCCCAATTTAATTAAAGTAATATATGAATATAATTCTTGAATAATTTAGACCCACCCAGCCAGGCACATTAAAAATGTGTTTTGATTCTAACACATTAAAGAAGTCTTTGGGCAGTCTTTTAAGAAATGTTATATCACTAAAGTTTATGTCATCAGTGTATCTCACTGTCACCTGAGCCCTCAGGAAGCTCTGTCTCTGAGGTCACCATTGCCATGTAAATTCTCAGCCTCGGTACTCTAAAATGGAAAAGAGAATAATGTCACACTAAGTGCCTCCGTGGTAGGAACTGAATTTTTCTGTTGATTGTGTTACAGGGAATATGCTACAGAGATGCCCCAAACACATGGGGGTTGGTGGGGTCAGCAGAATACTCATCTACCAGTGAGACACCTGACTCAGCCCTGTTTTCACAATAAAGATTTGAAAGTCAAAACAAAGAATCCAAGAGAGGTGGCTATCTTTCCAGTGATTCCAAGTTCTGGGAGTCTTTCAAAACAGGGAATAAGCAGATATTTTCTCTTTTAAAGAGGAAGTTCTAGAATTTAGTTAATGGACTATGGTTTCACACTTTTAAAATGCTGGGAATGGTTTGTATAATTGTGGAGTGTGTGCCCACATTTGTTCCTCTAATTTTCTGAACCATCAGTCCATGCCTGACAGTGATGGAGAGGAAGGTAGCAGTACTGTGTGCGTGCCTTTGTTCCCAGCTCACGCATGTTGGCTTGGATTTTAGGTGCCACTTCTGCAAGTCTTCCTGCCATGTGTCCTCCCTCCGCATCCCATACGCCTGCAAGCTGCTCTTCCAGGAGCTGCAGTCCATGAACATCATCCCCAGGTTGAAACTGGCCAAGTACAATGAGTAAGGATGGGCAGTAGCCACTGAGGGACGCGGTCGGCAGCCTGTGCAGCACAAAGCGAGGACTCCAAATGACTTCTGCAAGCATTTTGCTTCATGAAAATCTGAGAGGCGGAGGAGGCGCAGCGTTCTGAGTTCTAGAAGGCTGGCTGGACAACCTTGATCAAGAGCTTCGAGCCACAGGAGGTGCCAGGCCCCACAGACTGCAGCACCATGCTGAGTCACAGGCGGACACAAGCTGGAGAGAGATTGCAAACTCCTATTAATTTTCCTTTGTTTTGTTTTGAGTTGGAGTCTCATTCTGTAGCCCAGGCTGGATTTGAACTCACCTCAATCCTCCTACCCACCCCTCAAGTGCTGGAATTATAAATAAGCATCTCTGGCTTATTTATGTTAATTATATTTTTAGGCATCCTTTTTAGAAAAGCTTTTTTCCTTAAAATTCCCCATGACGTCTTCTGGTAAAGAGAACTCTGGTTCTCCTCAGGTGTGGAGGAGGTAAAGAATCATTTGAATTGTGACTAGGAAGTTAACTCATGTACCTGTTGCACACAGACCTGAGTTCATCACCAGCAAACCAAATAAGGGCTGGACATGGCACCCAGTTCCCATGTGAGACTGATGTTGTTCAGGGGTGGGGTGAAGAGCAGACAGGCAGACCCTTGGAGCTTATTGATCATCCTGTAGCCAATTAGGACCCTTCAGGTTCAGTTGAGAGACCCCATCTTAAGAGTTAAAGTGGACAACGAACGAGGAAGGCCCCATTGTCACCTTGGCCCCACACACACATACAAAGGATGGTTAGATGTGTTGGCACAATGGATGCGCAGTGGGAAGAAGTGGAGTAACACGGAGAAGGCAGCAAGTGACATGTGCTCTGTGGCATGGAAAGGCCAGCAGTTACATCAGCTGTCTTACACCAAGACTGTAATTTTGGTGGAATGTGGACAGTGCAGCCTTCCTTGTAAGAATGCCTTTCCTTATCTACCAGATCGAGGTTCTTGTGAACCTCCAAGATACCTGGGTACAATCCATAACCCTGGTCATTTCCTGTCCCTTTCGTTCCTACCAGGATGTTAGATTTCTATTCCCTCAATTTGTTCTTAACTCTTGTGCCCTGAAGCCAGGTAAAGATTCATACTAAGAATTATTTATATATTTAAATAAAAAAAGCAGATGGCACACACCTTTACTCTCAGCACTCAGGAGGCAGAGGCAAGTGGATTGCTATAAACTCAAAGCCATTCTGGTCTATAGTGTGAATTCCAGGACAGCTAAGGCTACACAAAGAAACCCTGTCTTAAAAAACAAAAAAACAGAGTCCAAGAAGAACTAATGGTCTAGCTATGTTCTCATACCACACTAGAAGTGTTCCTCAGAGCGCTAACAGGTTTTACACACCAGTAGGGATCAAAGTTGAGTGTGCAAATGAGGCTGAGGAGCCCCAGGACTTCTCAGCCAGCTACTCACCCCAGGCCAAAGCAGTTGAGTTACCGATTTGAAGATGCAACCCTGTTTTGTTATCTTCACAATAAAGATGTGGAAGTCAGAACAAGGAGTCTGTGAGGGGTGGCTGTGTGAGTGGGCAGCCTTCGGTGCGTCTTCCGTGGCTCATGAGTATTGTGACATCAGGAGGCACCCATCTCTTCCCTGTAATGTTGGTCATTCCTTAATCTGGCACATCCATTCTTATTGACAGCCCCTCCATATCATTGCACTGAGGTGTGCCTAACCTTGTGCTGTGTGCTTTGTTGGACCATCAGAGGGACTTTTTTAGGGTGATCCTGCCTGATTCTACCAACTCTGTCAAGGGTTGATAATCCTGCAGTGCTGTGCTCAAAGAACACTCAAGTCCTTTGGAAGGAGCCAGGCAGTGTTCTGGGTACCAGTACCAGGACAACTGCTCAGCATGCGGTACGGTGCACGGTGTTGGGCTTAGAAGGAGCAGGTAGGTTGAGGTTCTTCTTGGTGGAACACGGAGTCCAGGAGACGTGGCCCCAGTCTGATCAGAGCATAGTTAACCTCATTGGGGTCTCAGGAGCGCCCATGCACACTGACCCACACTGGAAATCTTGAAGTGTTTTTCAGGGAGATTAGCTCCCTGTTACAGCTAAAGAAGCTGAGGCAGAGTAGCCAAGACAGACACACACACACATCCCTTACCCAGCCACTGCCCTAACACCACACCACCATGGGGGAATGGCAAGAACCCCAAATGCTCGGGCCTGTTCGGCTTTATCCATGGTTCACCAAAAGTGATCTTTTTTTAGAAATTCAGATGCCACTGAGACCTTCTGTTTCCTGTAGATGAACATTTTCAGCCATCCCAGGTGGTTATGATCATCTGATGGAGGACACACAGTTCTTCACTTGTGTGCCTCTCAGAAGGCATTAGATCCAAATGTCAGCAAAAGGAAAGCAGTTGGCTAGCTTCACAGCCAGCAGAGACCACACTTGAATAGCTGTTTGTCTGAAAAGGATGTTAATGAGTGGACACAGCGAGAGCTGGGGTGGAGCTCGATGGTACGTCACTTGCCTAGTACGCAGCCCCATCCTCAGCGCACACATCAGCGAGGCCACAAGTCCTTAGTCTTAGTGCAGGTTGTCATTTTGTTTGCTTGTTTTTAAGTTATTCTAAGTCCTTTGCTTTAAAAGCTACCAGTTAGATCCTATTTGTAGTAAGGCTAGGTCATTTCTTCAAAACCACGCACAGCCTTTCTCCCTGAAGGCTTTTAATGGGCTAGGAGTGGCATGGGGTAAGGTTGATGTCTCCTTCAGCGGAGTCAAGGGCTGCAAAGAACAGAAATCTCAGGTGTTGCCAAGGCACTCACCTGGACAGGCCAGCATCCCACACAGAAAGCTTGCTGGGTGACCAGGGTTTCCACTGTCCCCTCAGTTCCTTAGAGGGTCTATTCTCTGAGACAGCACACTGATGGCTTCAGTATAGGAATTCTGAGGAAGCTGCTCAATCCTCTCTACCCCTCAAGGTATTTGAAACAGTTCATGACAGCACAGGCAGGAATGTGGGAAATACCTATTTAAGCCTACTGGCCAAAACAGCAATTCCACTCCTAGATGTATGGCTAGTGGGAAGTGTGGTGTGTGAGTGGGTGCATGCTCACTACCAAATGTTCCCAGCACCATTGTCATAGCCCCTGGTCTATATAACCCTGTTCACTAACAATATAAATTATTGTATGTTACCACAGTGGTAACATACTATATGATGATGAAAATTAATTGCTACTGCATGTAATATCACTAATTACTGGAAATGCCCCCATAAACATTACATATTGTGTTGGTGGGTTTGGTTTGTTTCTTTGTTTTGTTTTTGCCTTTGGTGGTGCAAGGGAGACAGGTCTCATGTAGCCTGGTCAGGCCTCAAACTCTGTGGCCATGAGTGATTTTGACTTCTGATCCCCCTTCCCTCACCCGCTCAGTGCTGGGATTGCAGTCCACCACCACCATGGCACTGGGGCTCCAACCGGGGCTCTGCTCATGCTCACATACTCCCAACAGAAGTTCCCAAGCTCTTTTGGTTCTTGGGTTCAGAGTTAAGCAGAATTGGTGTGTGACATGAGTTATGGCAGTTCCCTGTGCAGTGGGTGGCTGAGCTGAGGGTAATTCTAAGGTCCTGCTGATGACATGCTTTGTTTGTTTGGTAATTCCTTAAGTTTTACATTCAGGGGCCCAGAGAGATGGCTTAACTATCCAGATCCCCAGCACTCACATTGGGAGGCTCACAACAACCTCTAAATCCAGCTCCAGATGACCTAGCACCTTCTCCTGGCCTCTATAGGCACTGCATTCCTATGCACACAAACACACACACAATTTTATTATTATTTATATTATTATTAATAGTATCTTTTCAAAAGATATACTACATAATTTTGCTTTGGGTTTATGTTAATCTTTAATACCTCTTCTCACCCCACCAGGTAACTAAGCGGTTAAGCTTACAGGCTCAGCCTTGTGGTTATGTGCTCTCAAACTGTTGCTCCTTGAGTTTTCTCATCTTCAAAATAGAGGGATAATAGTACCACCCCCTTTTAAGATTATAGGTGACAGTGTGCTTGGCCCAAAACAGAGGCTGACACATATTTGCTACAGTTTTCATTGGGAACAGAAACCTTTCTGTCACGTGCCTTGGGAGCATATTATGTGTGAGGGAACTTCATCAGGCCGGAATCAGATCTCACGTAGAAAGGAAGTCACTAGGTGGCTGTCCCTGGGGTCCCCTAGGTTCCTCAGTTCAGGAGGCAGTGACAGGACAACATGAGCAAGCCCAGGCTCCTTTGAGGAGGACTTTGGAAAGCGGTCAAATGCAGAAGTGATGGATTTGAGAAAACAACATTTGGATAAGCCACCATGCTTCAGAGCCATGAGGAAGGCCAGCGATAGAGAACATGCTTGCTTGGAATCACCGTTTACCACTGACATCAAAGCAAGGGCCGGTTGTCAGCACTTGGAGTCCTGGCAGTTTTGCTGAAGCTCACAGAACGCTTCCATGTGGAGAGTCAGTGCCGTTTCTAACAAGCCCCTGATTGGGTGCTACATAATGGGCACTGTTTGGCTGACACCTTTATTTGCAGTAATGAGTCACACAAGAGTGCACACTTAAGGGGCGTGTGGCTGGGGCCCTCCCCGTGGGCTCAGCCCTTTCTGCTGTGGAATGGATGGTCAGGAAGCAACTGTAAAAGTCACACCTCTCCCCTCTGTATCGGCTCCATGTGTGTCTCATGAAAACCTGTATTTCATTTGTCGACTGCAGGTTGGGCTTTTACTACCTGCACCAGACCGTGGGGCCACGACTGGTGGGAAATCAAAGTCACACTTCTTTAAAGAGGAAGTTTTAAAAGGGGGGAGAAGTGGCAATCTAGAAGTGTATTGTTTGTTACCAAAACCAAGCTACCAATTTGATTTGAGACTCCAGAAGCAGTTAACAGACTGGCTTCAGGAAATCAAATTTGTGACTTGGGATCTCATGGTAGAAAATTCCAGAATTCAAAACTCACCTTTTTACACACAAGTTTAAGCTGAGAAGTTGAATTACTCTTCAAGACTGTGTAATAGCTGCCATTCCACGCTCAATAACTTGAACGTCAGGTTTACTCCCAACCATCCACGTTAATGGAGGTGTGAAGGGGCATGAGGAAATTAAGGTAGGCGATAGACCCAGAATCCTTTGCGTCCGATGCTGGAGAGGTAGTGTGATGGCTTTGCTGTGTTCACAGTGACGCCACACTGCATTGAGAGAAGCTGGAATGCCACCCTTCACGAGCAAATACTGGTGACAGACCCCGGAGGATGGGGCAGCCTGGCTCAGTGCAGCCAAGTGTCCTGACCAGCTACTCAAACATACAGACCCAGGAACTGTGGGTGGTTCTGGTGGTACCTGAAAATCCCAGGTCTGCCTAAAAGCATGTCTGCGCGTCCCTTCAAACACCTTGGAAATCGACTTCCCATTTGTCTTGCCTTTCTCCTGAGACAGCTTGTCCTCTTGGCCTGGCCTGCTCAGCCCTCCCACAAGCTCCTCATCTTCCCCAGCCTGCTCCACCTATAGAAGGCGCTGTTCGGGGGATGGCAGCATGGGGACCACATTTAGATGGGGTCCACTCTCCTCCAGACCTTACATGTGGCTTCCCCCTATTGCCTACTGTTTTCAGACATCAGCCCAACTACCCTTCCACGACCCTCCTGAGCTGCCAGCCCCTCCAGAGAGCCATCGTACAACATGGCAGCCTTTCTGAATGTTCAGATGCTCACAGCTTCTGGGTCTGTCTCAGCTTTTGGGTTCCATCCCTGTCCTTGAGGGACTGGCAATGCCACCTCTCAAATGTGTCCTCCATAGGCCATAGGGAGAATTTGAGGCTGGGGTTTCTCAGCTCTTCTGGGTGGCTGAGCCTGTAAGATCCAGGATGCACAGAGAGACCTTACAGTTGCTTTCCAAATGGATGGAGAATGTTGATACCAGCTCACGTGAGGGCACAGAGGCCCTGGGAGAGCCCCAAGTTAGCTGTTAATAAGCTGAGCCTCGGCTTTCTCATATGTTCAAGGGAGTCTGCCCTCCCTCCCTGCCCCATCCACCTCAGGCTCCTATCGGTGTAGAATGGCAGCTCACTCCATTGCCAGGTCAGGTAACATGCAGAGCAGCACCTGCCCTGTGCTAGGCAGGAAGACCAGCTTTCCCCTCTTTGTACATACGAATGTACAAATAGACCAAGTACATCCACTGATGTACCAGTCATATTTGGGACTGGCTAATTTTTTGCTGTCCTCTGCTATTATAGGATGTTTAGCCATACCCACATGCCTCTACTCACAGGATGCCCTTGATAGGACAATCAGAAATGCCCCCAGACATTGCTAAATTTCTCTTAAAAACAGTTACATCCAGATTAAAAACACTCTCCTAGACAGTGGTATGAAAGTGATATAATTTTATTCTTAATTTATTCACTTTACATCCTGATTGTAGCCCCCTCATCTCCTCCCAGTCCTCCCCTCCTTCCTTCTTTTCCTCTATCCCCTCCCCTGGTCTGCAGAAAGGAGGTACCCTCCTTCCTCACTGTTGGCCCCAGACTATCAGTCTCTTCCAGACTGCCTACATCCTCTTCCTCTGTGGTCTGGCAAGGCTGCACTGCCAGGGGGAAGTGATCAAAGAGCGTCCAACAGAGTCGATGTCAGAGACAGCCCCTGTTCTAGGGAACCCACATGGAGACTGAGCTGCCCATAGGCTACATCTGAGCAGGGGGTCTAGGTCCTTTCCATGCATGGTCTTTGGTTGGTGCATCAGTCTCTACAAGGCCCCTTGGGCCCAAATTTGTTGCCTCTGTTGGTCTTCTTGTGGAGTTCCTTTCCCCTTCAGGTCCTTCTATCCCCCTACTCATCCATAAGACTCCCTGAACTCTGCCCAAAGTTTAGCTGTGAATCTTAGCATCTGCTTTGATCCCCTGCTAGGTGGAGTTTTCCAGAGGACATCAATGATAGGCTCCTGTTCTTTCTCTTCAACTGTTTCTGGTGTCTGTTCTATTTGCCCTTCTGAATGGGAATTAAGCATTCTTCCCAGGGTCCTCCTTGTTACTTAGCTTCTCTAGGTCTGTGGCTTGTAGTATGGTTATCTTCTGTATTGTATGGCTAATATCTGCTTACAAGTGAGAATATAACCATGCATGTCTTTCCAGGTTACTTCACTAAGAATGATCTTTTCCAGATCCATCCATTTGCCTACAAATTTTATGATGTCCATGTTTTTAATAGCTGACTAGTACTCCATTGTTTCAATATCCATTCTTCAGTTGTGGGACATCTAAGTTGTTTCCAGATTCTGGCTGTTATGAATAAAGCTACTGTGAACATAGTTGAACAAAATGTCCTTATTGTATGGTAGAGCATCTTTTGGGTAGAACAATTCTCAACTTCATATGGAAAAACAAAAAACCCAGGATGGCTAAAACAATCCGGTACAACAACAGATCGTCTAGAGGGATCTCCATCCCTGATCTCAAGCTGTACTATAGGAGCAACAGTAATAAAAACGGCATGGTACTGGCATAGGAACAGAATGGTGGATCAATGGAATTGAATTGAAGACCCAGAAATAAACCCACACACTTACAGACACTTGATTTTTGACAAAGAAGCCAAAACCACACAATGGATAAAAGATAGCATCTTCAACAAATGGTGCTGGTCTAACTGGATATCTACATGTAGAAAAATGCAAATAGATCCATATTTATCATCCTGCATAAAACTCAAGTTCAAGTAGATCAAAGACCTCAACATAAAAACAGACACACTAAAAATCTATTAGGAAAAAAAGTGGGGAAGAGCCTTGAACTCATTGACAAAGGAGAGAACTTCCTGAACAGAACACCAACAGCTCAGGCTCTAAGATCAACAATTAATAAATGGGACCTCATGAAACTGAAAAGCTTCTGTAAAACAAAGGACACTGTCAATAGAACAAAACTACAGCCTACAGACCAGGAAAAGATCTTCACCAACCCTGTTTATGACAGAGGGCTACTATCCAAAATATATAAAGAACTCAAGAAATTAAACACCAACAAACAAAATAATCCAATTAAAAAATGGGGTACAAAGCTAAACAGAGTTTTTAACAGAGGAATATTGAATGGCTGAGAAGCACTTAAAGAAATGCTCAGGGGGATGGAGAGATGGCTCAGTAGTTAAGAGCACTCACTGTCTGCTCTTCCAGAGGGCCTGAGTTCAATTCCCAGCAACCACATGGCAGCTCACAACTGCCCAATTCCAAGGGATCTGACACCT